ATAGATAATATGTAAGTTCTGATAAAATTGTGTTTGAATAAGAAATTATAGTGTAATTCACCGTTTCTAGGTATGCAGATAGAGATGGAATTGTTTACGCAAAACAGAACAAAACAAATGATACACAGACGGAATTCCTTCATGTTTACGAGGTAAGTACTACCCAGAAGACAGCAATCTTCTGGCAATGGATTTTATAAGGCCCTGAATTAAAAAGCGGTTGCCCGGTATATAACAATTTTTCAAGCTAGACTAACCGCCAACTTGGAATTTATTGAGGTACATAATGTTTTACAAATATTGTTTGGTTTAATTTTATTGATCATTTGCAGTTCAAGAACTTCGGTCCGAGTCCTTTGAAGAAAGTGGAACTCGTATTCGAAATTCCTCTATCACATGCAGCCGCCAAAGACTTATTTGAACTCTATAAAATTGAGGTTCGTATTCTTACGTACACACAACAGGCCTCCTTGAAGATGACTTATTATTGGAAATTTGAGATGTATGGATTAATGAAGGGATCTTTAGTACGGATTCCGTCGTAATAGATTTACAACTGATAACATTTTCTACATTCGCCGGTCAACAGTCCAACAACTGTTTTATAGACTTCAAGAAAGTCTATGACTCAGTTAAAAGAGAAGCTGTTTATAATATTTTATTTAATTTGCTTCAGCCACGGTGGTCTAGCGGTTAGAACGCTGGCCTTGTAATCCTGGGGTCTCGGGTTCGATTCCCGGCGGTGCCCGAATTTATAACTTGTGTTGGGCAAGGCCGTGGTCTAAGCAACACGGAGTTTTCCTCCGTGGCATCCCAACAATTACTCCATTCCCACACAGAAGAAGGCAATGGCAAACCACTTCTGGATCATCTGCCAAGAACGTATATGAACAGGTCCCAGTCTGAGAAAAGGATGGAAGGATCCTGTTCATATGGACCTGTCGTAAGACAGAACACTAAATAAAATAAAAATACCTAAGAAGCTATTCAGGCTACTTAAAGAAGTGTCTATGTGAAACTTCTAGCAAAATTCGTGTAGGTAAATATCTCTCCGACACATTTCCTATTCACAATGACCTGAAACAAGGAGATGCTTTATCGTCGATGCTTTTAAATTTCGCCTTGGAATATGCCATCAGGAAACTCGATGAAAATCAGGGCGGTTTTTAATTGAATGGGACACATCGGCGTTCGGTCTTTGCAGATAATATTAATCTGTTGGGCGATAATATAAATATTATAAAAACAAACAGAGAAACACTCTTAAGGGCTAGTTGGGATATTGATCTAGAAATAAATGCAGAAAAGACAACGCATATGATCACGTCTCGGCATGAGAATTCAGGACAAAACCAGAATATAATTTTAACTGATAAATCGTTAAAAATGCGACAGAATTCAAGAACTTGGGGACGATATTAACAAGTCAGAATGACACTCATGATAAAATTAAGAACAGATTAAATTTAGGGTATGCTTTGCTATCATTCAGTCCAAATGTTTTGTCTTCCCGTCTCATACCAAGAAAACTAAATATTAAAATTCACAAAAATTTAATTTGCCGGTTGTGGTGTATGGGTGCGAAACTTGGTCTCTCACTTTTATTTAACCACCTAATAATCTTTGAAGAAGACAATCCTACATGTTATGAAACCAAACGTCACAAACATGTTCTGCGTACAATTCCTTATAGTCTTATAAGTTTAAAGAAAACTGATTGTGGGTTACATGGCACCATGGTGTGTGCGAAAGACGTTTTGAGGTACATGTACTCTATACACAGAATACAAAAATTAAATCAATCCATTGGAGAATGCGTGTTTATTGGTGAATTAAAAAATGTACACATGCATTTTCCAATGAATTATGTTTATTTTAAAGTTTCGATCTTTTTCGTATTTCCAGACAGTGAACGATTCGAAAATTGTAACATGTGAGAGATCTGACGTCAATATTTCCACCACTGTAGAAGACGCAACAGCCGATAATCAGAGCACATCGGGAGATAAGTACACCACAGAAAGTAGCAACAGTTCCGAACTTGAGGACACAGTTCAAAACCTTCGAGCCCACAACATCGAACCAGTCCTGGTGGCACCGAAGGGAAATCTTCCGGAGGACAGAACATTTTCCATCAACTGCGAGCAACCAGATACTACGTGCGTCACAGTACGATGTAGTATCGATGGATCGATCGACGAAAAATCCAAGACAGAATTAAATATAATAATGTTGGCTAATTTAGAGAATTTAGGTGAGCTCACATTTTATTTGTATGATTCCGCGGCTGAAAGTAGGTCTTCTTGTGTCTGACTGGCAAATTGAGTTCTTAACCTATCAGTAATACTCAGATTATGAAGAAAAATATTCAGTTAGCCTAATATAATAAATCCTGTAATTCCTTAAAGCACATTTGTGTCTTACTGAACCATGTATTTTAGTCGTCGAATTTTTTACAGAATAATCAACGCTCATTTCCCTAATCAGGATAAGCCAAATTGATCTTTGTGTTGACGAAGCATCGTATCTTAATTTACATTTAGGCAGTTTCTAAAATAAACTCCGTGTTTTAAACATAACATGAAATCTCATATAATCGCCAACTACCAAGTTACGTACTCTTATGAATCAAATTAGTCTAACGCTAAAATAACATTTGTTCCACTGTTCTCTGTGGATAAGAGTTCTTGAGAAACAAATAGGCACTACATTAGTCAAGAATTATCTCCCCCTTTTCAGCTAATAAGTCAATTTTTATTCAAATTCGCCCAGATTACCAGAGGCAACGTCACCTTTACGTGGTTAATAATATTTACGTCGGTAACAACGTCTCACAGCCAGTGTAATGTAAGGGTTTATCAGGAAATAAACGTGCATTAGAGACTTAAGGCTTTGTTAATATTAAAACTATAGAATTTCTCGATTTAAATCAACAGAAATTTGGACAACTTCATATTTATTACTCATAATTTATAAAAATACAAATTAAACTCAGGATATAAATATTTAAACGAATATATTAGATTATTCGTTTTTGTCTGTCCTTCTGTCGTCACATAGCGAATCGAAAATGGCTGAATGGATTTTCATTTATGACGTCATCACTTAGTCAGAAACCTCACTCACTCAGAGATTCTCGACCCCAGACAATTCATATACCTCTGGTACAATTGGAGAAGGCCAGAACTCAAATTGTGACAAATGTACAAGATTTGTTATGATATGCGTGTATTTTTTAAAATTCTTTAAATTAAATATAGTTTGTTAGCCTTCTTCGTAATTTGGACGTGATTTTGATTTTGTAAACCGATGTTATCAATAATGATATTAATTGTGTGTGGGCATAATTTATTAATAACTTACTTAAGTACAAAAACGGATGTTTCAGAATCTTCTCTGGGGGACAGAGAAATTGTCCTTTTCTCTACAAGTGGTAGATCGACTATCCATAGTCCATCAAACGTACAGCAGACAGAGAAAAACAGGTGAGTAGCGATGCGTCAAGACCTCAAGGTCTTCAGTGACATCTGTCGGCGTTTGCATGAACGCTTACCTCCATTTTAACATTGGCTATATTTCAAAATAAATTTTAAAATAGTTGTATACTGGTATATTTCTCCGTGCAGTCAGGTAGATATTAACGGACGTTTCAGTTATGCTTAACCTATTGCCTGCATCATCGCGGCCTGATGATAGAGGCAGTAAGAACCTCTGTAACATCGGTCAGTATTTTACCAGACTATAATCCACGATATCTCAGAACACATTCGTAATCGCCTCCATTAAAACTTGAAATCCCAAACAAAAAAATATGAATTTCGAATTATTTAAAGTTATAGAACATCCAGTAACTGTGTAGAATAAATATGAAGTCTCGTGTTAGCTCACTTAATCTGGCAAATACTTGCTTAATTTATGTATATATTTTATTTATTTATATACTGGTAATTCAGCAGAGTAAACAGTGAATTTATTCCAGCATTTATCGGATGAGAATTTCCTGACGTTAGTAACTTAAAACTTAATCCTCTTGTAAACTGCTTTAACAACCATTTTTTTTTTTTTTGGGGGTTGATTGAGATGTTTCCTCTACGTCTTTCCTCCACATACAAAATGGTTAAGTATGATTACGTATTTCGAATTAGATTCCAGTACTCCTCTCAAACTTACCCCTTACACATATTTTATTATCGAAAGATGGCAGTGTTGTACACTGTTCTGTCAGTCCTTCAATCTTAACCTTAAAATTTTTTAGCAGTGAACGTATCGAGTATTAGTTGTAAATTCTGCCACTACACGCAATAGTTAAAAGTCGCAGTGACGTAGGCAGGTGATGTGCGCATGCGTAACCCATCTGTCGCCGAGTCTAGAACATTCGTCTTCAGTACAAATTTATTTCTCACGCGTGTCAGTAGCTTTCCGCTGTCCGCAGCATCGTTATTCATTTATTTGTATCATTATTACTGGCTTCTCATAACGTCCAGTATGTTAAAGTATTACAAGTAAAGTTTACATAATATTAGAACAAGCACGTGGCTTCCCAGGCTGCATAAATCACAGGGACTTACGTACTGTATATTTTTTTATGAAACTGGTGTCTGGTAATATTTTATATGCAGCTCAGATGCTTGTTAATACGTAGCTCTAAAACGTTTATCTATTGGCATAGTTCATCGAATGACAGGAAGATTAGAAACCAGTTGTACTCCAGTTTTGGTGTGACTCCGAGCCGAGATTTTAATTGTGAACCCCAGACTTTCGAAGCAAGAGTGAAGTTAACAAAACAGTGATTGATCACAAACACCCCTTGTGGGGGCTGAGGTCTAACATTTGACGTTCAGTTTTTCTGATGTGTCTTTCCACGGATGTTGTTCACCTCTAAAACGTCGGTCGGTATCTACCAGACTACACTGTGCAACATCTCAGAAGACAGCCATATCCTTCTAACAATCATTTGTGACGTACTCAGGAAGATCTTGATCTTAAACATCGTGCAGGAGTTAAGAGTAATTAATTTTTTTACAGACCTGATAACGCCAAAGTCACTACAACATTTCACGGGAAAATTAAGGAACTCGGATTTAATTATGCGTTACTTGGCTGGGCAGTTGGAGGTTCTTCCCTGCTACTTATCTTCATCGTCATAATCCTCTGGATGGTAAAGTATTAATACTATATTTCTTTATAGTTATTAATTTTTGTAAATAATTAGGAAGAGTCTATCATTGTAACTGTAAGCAGCGCTGTCAGACATCTTTGTCTCACTCAGTTTATCTTGCGTGTTGTTCCATGCTGTGTTTTTTTTATCTGACGGTGTGTAAACTTTAAGATACGAAAGTTTCGGAAAAAATGTTGCTTCCATCTTCAGGACCTTAGATGGTAGGGATTTCTTATCTTCCCTATACTTGCTACATACCCTGCCCATCTTAAAGTCAGGATTTGTAATTTGATAAATGAACGTCAAATTAAATTGTTTTATTTGTAGTTTATATATTGAATAGAATTGAATTGAATTGAATAATGACCCTCTGAGGGGCTTCGACTATGCGACATAATGGAAGTTGATTCGATCACATGACCACAGTTAATTTGAATTGTAAAAATTAAATTACTGTTGTAGATATTAATAATATTTATGTAAAAGTTTATTTTACGATAAGAGGTTTTTAGAAAAATTATAAATATTAATTTTACGTTTATGTAAAGTAGAAGTTGTAAGCCCATCGAATAGACACGTGTGTCAGAACAAACTCACACTTTGTTTTAAGGAACTTATACCAAGTTTATCAGACTCCCATTTTAATGCATGAATAGCAGATTTACAGATAGAATTTTCAGAGTCATGGCCTTACTACGAGTTGAATAATTACAAGGTCCATTAGGCAGTTAGTTTTAAGTTAGAATGGCTATAACTAAGTCTATGGTGGTTATTTATAATTATCTAACTCCTTCCAGTAGAGTCGTTTTTGAGATGTTGATAGTCAATGAAATTCCAACATTTTCTGGAAACCAATGGTTCATTATCCTGAGCTGTCTGAGCCAATGAGTGGTTCATAACAAAACCCTGAAGATGGAAGCGATATGCCTCTCCGAAAAGTTCGTGCAACAAAGCAGAGAACTATAATTCTTTTATATCTTCTTTTATATTTTATTATATTTCAGTTTGGATTTTTTAAGAGGAAGCGACCAGGGGCACAGTATAAAGCACTCTTGAAAAGAAATGTGGTAAGAATATTTATTCTTTTTTCCATACCGAGATTTTAATTTTAAATACTCTACGTTGCTTGCATAAGAATTTAGATTCTTGACGAAATTTCAGTTTGAATACTATTATATATAATCGCTAAATATAACCACCACGTAATTTGATATTAGTTAACCCGAAATATCGCAGTTGTAGTGAATTAATCCGCCCATTTTTGGTTCCTAAAATAAATATCGATTATTTTCTTAAGTTTCTTCAGACTGACCTGTGTTAGATATGAAAAACTGATGTGTTTGGCTGGAAGTCACAGCTAGCCCGCGAAATGGCATATAACCAACCCAGAATTTATTATATAGGCCTATTAAAAACCATGATCGTACGATAGAAGTCCATTCGAATATCTTTTGAGAATAGTCATAAAAATGGCATTATTGAATTACGTACGTTTGTCTTATGGGTTGACTGGTAGAAGCTTACCAACTCTACAGAGGTCCTTGTTGCTCCACTCATCGCCCTGATGATAGAGGCAGCAAAGACCTCTGTAACACTTTTA